TAAAGGCAGAAGAATAGGAGGCCTTCTGGAGGTGGAGAAAAGCCAGAACGGGAGTGGCAAAGGCTCAAAACATCTGATGGACAATAGAAAGTGGTTTAATATGTTGCATATTGTGGGAGAAGAAGGGGTGTGGGAGATGTTTGAGCTGTGCTGGATGGAGGCAATGATCCAACATCCCTGAGGGTTCTGGAGATGTCTGAAACATGGATGTGGACAGCAGCACCTGAGAGGGACAAATTCCTGCATCCCTGTGCAGGATTTACCACGGGAAGTCACAAGCTGAGGATGATGAGTGGTCCCAAAACCATCAGTCAGGCACAGGTGATGCAGAGGAAGATAAGCAGTGGGAGGGATTCCCGGGCATGGCTCTTGGAGACACTCAGGCACCAGGCCGGAAGGTGCAGGGATATTCTGCAGCCCTGGAGATGAATCAGCTTTTAGGAGTATTTACCTGGGATTTATCCAAATTCTCCATCACATGGATTCAAGTGTTCAGCTAACAACTCCCTTTGGCTCCCAGTGATGTTTTAGGATGCTCTAGAACCCGCCAGCCCTTCCAGAAGGACACAAAATTCAAGGACACTCCTGACACTGGGGACAACCAACCAGAAAATTATTTGGGGCACGTTGCTTCCTGTGTGGGCCAAAGCAGGGTCACACTCAGGGGAGGTCACTCCTGGCAGCTGGAAACATCAGAAGGACACAGAAAAAGGCTAAAAGAGAAATGACAGCACGGGAATTAATGTCAGCAGGAAAGCAGAGGCTGACACAGGCCCAGCCAGAGAACCAGCACAGTGCTGGGTTGTGAAGAGCTGAGGACAAAACCTCCCAGCCTGAGGCTTTGAGAGCTTAATTGACCCAAATACCTGGAAAGAAGGTGAAGAGGGGACAGAGAAGAGCCCTGCAGGGAGGTTTGTCCTGCAGCACAAGCCTGGCAGGCTCCAGTGCGCCGTGGCTGATTTCAGGAATTAGAGGCAGGGAAATGAGAGGGGAATTTGTAGCTGCAGGGCCTTGAAACCTCATCAGCTTGACTTGCCAAGGAGGAGGAGGCACCTCAATGCAGCTTTGTGCCTCTTATCTCAGTGCAGCTATCTCTTACAGCCCAGGATTTACTCCAGATATTGCCAGGAGAAGCTGTGGATGCCCTGGAAGGGTTCCAGGCCAGGATGGACAGGGCTTGGAGTGACCTAGTCTGTGGAAGTTGTCCCTACCCATGGCAGGAGGGGGATAGAGATTATTTTTAAGGTCTCTTCCAACCCAAACTATTCCAGGATTATTTTCTATGATTTTGTTACCTTAAGGCATGAAGGACCAGGCTGGATGGTTGTGACAGTGTTGAATCTTGGTCCCTGGCTTCATCCCACGTGGCCTTGGCCATCAGAAAAGGGACATGGACAAGGGATAGAGGGACAGGACACAGGGAATGGCTCCCACTGCCAGAGGGCAGGGATGGATGGGATTTTGGGAAGGAATTCCTGCTGGGAGGGTGGGCAGGCCCTGGCACAGGGTGCCCAGAGAAGCTGTGGCTGCCCCTGGATCCCTGGAAGTGTCCAAGGCCAGGCTGGATGGGACTTTTGGAGCGACCAAATCACAATCACAACCTGGAAAGACTAAACCTCCATGTCTCCTGTGCCTCTTCAAGAGGCTCATCACAAATATCCTTCACCCTTTCATGATGGGAATACTGGGTTAACTCCATGCACCACCCAGGTGGTGGCACATTCCTAGGACACGTAACCACCACGGCATCATCGCTCTGCCTTTACATCCAGAAAAACAGCAGAAATCCACGTCATGTGGATGCTTCTGAAATGACAAAACCAGGGAAGAGCGAATGTGGCCAGGAATAAACAAGGAAGCAGAGTTACCCAGCATGTTTCCTTTGCCAGAAGCGTGACCTTGTCCCTGCTGGGAAATGGTCATTTGTGAAAAGGGAGCCTTGGCTGCGTCCAAAAGAGGCGGAAGGGGATGAAGAGGTGGGGGATTGGAATGAGATGGTCTTGAAGGTCTCTTCCAACCCAAACTATTCTGCAATTCCATGATTTTGTGAAGTAAAGAGCTTGCAAACCCCATGTGAACAGTGGTACCAGTGGCAGCGGTTTGGAAAGGAGAATATGGGCTGGGAAGTGTTGGAGACACAAAAAGTGGAGGGAATAGCTAGCATCTGCATTTTTGGCTGGTTTTTCTTTCCCTCAAACTTCATATTTTTTAAGAAAGAAGTTGCAGACAGGGACTATCAAGACCCAGGAGTATGAAGACCCAGGTGACAAGAGCCTGCTCACCACCAGGTCAGAGCACCAGGACCATCTGAGGAAACAGAGCCTTTTTTTACACAGAGATTTGGGGAATTTCTGTGTCTCTGTGTATGGAGACAGGCCAGGCACTCAGTCCTGCTGCTTTCCCAGCTCCAGCCACCCAGCAAAGGCACCGAGCAGCAGAGTTCCATGGCTGGTGACCCTGGGAAGAGCCAGTCTGACCGGCTTGCCCGGAGCAGCCAGGCAGGAACGCCTGCTGCCTTCAACAGCTGCCCAGAACACTTTAACAACCAAAACAGAGGTCACGGGCTAAAATAAAAGTGACAAAACAAACCGGGGACAGGGAAATTGTCACTCAGCTTCACCTCTGTTTTCCCAAGGATGCCCACAGAGCCGTTTCACTGGGAAGGAATTATCCTGGTTTCCAGGAAGAAGGAGCAGATGGGCTGGGAGCTGCGGGGCGGGCAGGTCTGGTAGGTATCATCCCAAGCCCGATGGAAGCGGCCATGCATTTCGGCACCTTATTTGGCATTGCTGCTCCCAGGGAGCGAGGACTTGTTGCAAACAGTGGGAAGAGCCTTGGGGATGCTTGGCTGGCTCTGACGCAAGAGCTGCGCCGGTGCATTTTTGACCTTGCTTCGCCTCTGCCGAGCGCTGCAGCTCAGGGAGACTCTCCCTCCACACAGGGAAGGAGCCTCCGGGATGGAGAGGGCAGGGAAAAGGGCTCTGGGGAAAGGGAAACTCTGCCCGTGGGTTTAGGAGCAGAAGGAGCCGGCAGCCTTTCTTTCCTCAGCGTGCAGCCAGCTGTACGAAAAGGTTACCAGCTCCGCGGGGCCGTATCCAATTGCATCAGCTGGGAACCTCGTCCAACACGCCTTTGGGCCAAGAGTAACCCTTTCTATTTATTGCCCTATTGTTTGAGGCTGGAGGAACACGGAGATACCATCTGGGAAAGCTTTGTTGTTGCAGACCGGCTCTCGCCTGCGCTCCAAAGTCACCCTCCAAACCACGATCCGGCTTCCACATTTGGGGGCATGGAATGGGGGCTCCTCCGAGCAGGGATTGAGGCCCCAGGAGGGATTGAGGGGGGGGGTCACCTGCTGCAGGGTCACCCAATTCCCCTCTGCCAGCATCAGCCACGTCAGCAAAAACCCTTGGATAAAACCTGGCTAAGTGTGCCCAGAGTGACCCATGCAAAGGTTTTATTAGTATTAAAGGTATTAAAGGTATATTAGGTATTAAAGCAAAAGAACAGCCTTGATAAATATCTCCATTATATTATAAATATCTCCATTTTAATGGCAAAGTGAAAATTGGAAAAAATTTACCATCCTGCTAAGAGGTTTTGTTGCCTGTGCGGTGCCAAAGCAACCTGGTCTAGTGGAAGTTGTCCCTGCCCCATGGCAGAGGGCTGGAACCAGATGGTCTCATGGTCCCTTCCAACCCAAACCATGCCATGATTCCATGGTCCTAAATCTCCCACTGCCATTCACCAGGAATGCGGGAATGGTGTTCCTGGCTGGCAGAGCCATCCCCGAGGCTGCCAGGGCGGGCACAGCTTTGCTGGGATGTGACTTCCCATCACCTGGCACGGGGCAGGATACATCCAGAGCGCTGGACCTCAAAGCACAGCCCCTTCCGCGTGTTGGATTTTCAGGAAGCGCGGTTGCTTGGCGGGATGTGTGTATCACTGGGTGGAGGAGCTACAGGAAGCGGATAATATTTTTTTTTCCTCCATTTGTGCCGGTTCAGACCCTTTTATTTAAAGACAGTTCCCATTTCCCCATATTCACACGGATTATGAGGATGGAGGGAACTAGCTCATCTCCCAGCCTCAACGGGGGCACGGGCTACTATGCCAAGGTAGGGAAGGATTTTTCCTATGAATTCGGGGACAGTGTTAAAAAACACCCCAAAGGGTGTGGAGTGGGCACGGCTGCCATGGAACCCACGCGGGTTTGGGATGCCAATGTTCCTAATGGATGCTCTCCAGGCTGGCTCCCGAATTTCCCCTTCTGGATGCCCTGGGACCAGCGGCCACGAGCTGAGGCGGGCAGGGCTGAGCAAAGCTGGGTCGGAACGAGATAAACTGGGATGAGCTGAGCCGGGATGAGGCGGGCTGGGCTGGGCAGAGCCAAGCCCGGATAAACCGAGCTGGGATAAACTGGGCTGAGCCGGGGTGGGCAGAGCCAAGCTGGGATAAGCCGAGCTGGGATAAACTGGGCCGAGCCGGGGTGGACAGAGCCCAGCCGAGATAAACTCGGTCGAGCCGAGATGGGCAGAGCCCAGCCGGGATGAGCCGAACCGGGATGAGCCAGGCAGAGCTGAGCCGCGATAAACAAAGTTGTGTTGAGCCGGGCCGAGGCGGGCCGGGCACAGCCGAGCCGGGCTGGGCCAGGCCGGGCCGAACCGGGCCGATCCCAAGCCGGGCCGGACCGATCCCGGCCGGGCCGCCCCCCGGCGATTCCCGGATGTTGGAGCGGCCCCCATTTACTCCGTCCTTCGCTTCCATAAAAGGCCAAGGGGCCCGGCAGCCACAGGCGCGTTTTTCCTTTAATTATTATCCCCCTCCTCCTCCTCCTCCCTCCCTCCGCCTCCCGCTCTGCCCGCCCGCGCTGCCTCTCCCGGGCGGCCCCTCAGGAGCTGCGGCGGGGTCTCGATCCCGCCCCACCGCGCCCCCAGCCCTCCCCCGGGGCGCGGAGCGGGCACAGCCGGGCCCATCCCGCCGCCGATCCTGATCCGCTCCCGCTCCGTGCCGGGCGCGGCCGGCGGCGCAGGAGGCCGGGGCCATGGCGCTGGACGGGATCCGCATGCCGGACGGCTGCTACGCCGACGGGACGTGGGAGCTGAGCGTCCATGTCACCGACCTGGGCCGCGACGTCACCCTGCGGGTCACCGGCGAGATCCACATCGGCGGCGTCATGCTGCGCCTCGTCGAGAAGCTCGGTGAGTGCCCCGGGACCCCCCGGGCAGCCCGGCATCCTCCCAGTGCTCAGCACCCTGCTCCAGTGCTGTGCTGTAACTCCCAGCGCCCTGCCTAGTGCAGTGCCCAACTCCCAGCCCTCTGCTCCAGTGTTGTGCTCCAGCTCCCAGCACCCTGCCCAGTGCAGCGCCCGAGTACCCAGTTTAGCCCCAGCACTCTGCTCCAGTGTTGTGCTCCAGCCCCCAGGACTCAGCTCCAGGATTGTGCTCCAGCTCCCAGTACCCTGCGTAGTGCAGTGCCCAGCTCCCAGCACTCTGCTCCAGTGTTGTGCTCCAGCCCCCAGCACTCAGCTCCAGGATTGTGCTCCAGCTCCCAGCACCCTGCCCAGTGCAGTGCCAGAGTACCCCAATTTAGCCCCCAGCACTCTGCTCCAGTGTTGTGCTCCAGCTCCCAGCACCCTGCCCAGTGCAGTGCCAGAGTACCCCAGTTTAGTCCCCAGCACTCTGCTCCAGTACTGCTTCAGCTCACAGCACCCTGACCCAGTACCCTGACCCAGTACCCTGCTTTAGCTCCCAGCAGCCCTGCTCCAGTACATTGCTCCAGAACCCTGCTCCAGGACTGTACTTTTGTCTCCCAGCACCCTCTCCCAGTACTGGGCTGTAGCCCTCAGCATCCTGCCCCAGTGCTGTGCTCCAGAGAGGCTCCCAGCACCCTGCCCTAGGTCCCAGCATCCTGCCCCAGTGCTGTGTTTTAGCTCCAGCACCCTCTCTCAGTACTCTGCCTTAGCTTCCAGCTGCAGGGAGCCCCCCAGGCCCCCACACCCTGCCCTAGCCCCCCATATCCTGCCCAGGCTCTCCCTCTCACCGATTTCACCACCCCGTGGCCTCAGCCCCATCCGCCGGCTGCTGCACTCCCGGGGTTTTACACTGAGTTCGGAACCAGCTCCGTTTTCGGCTTGGGGCTGGAGATTTGTTTGGGGGCGCCCCAGAATTTACCCCAAAACTCCATCCTGAAGTTTCGTGCGAGCAAAGCGCTTCCAAAGAACCCATGGGGCGATCGGTGGCGTGATGTGGGCCGGGGGACCTTGGGGACAGGGCGGTGTGCGGTGGCTTTGGGAGCACACCTGGACAAAGGGCCCGTTTGTCCGGGACGCGTGGGAACGCCGGGCCGCGACCGGAGCTCGGCTCGGTCCCCGCCGAAAGCGGGGAGCCCCGGAACCTCCTCCTCCTCCCCCTTTGTCTTTTTATCGGTTCTTTATTGCTCGGCTTTGTTTACTCAGCGGTGCAGCCCGGGCTGATGGCTGTAATTGCTCAAATAAAATATTAATTGCGAGGTCCCGCGCGTGCCTGCGGCTGTGGGAGTAGCGGAGCTGTCAGCTGCAGGTCCCGCTCCAATGCGGAGCCAGCCCTCGTGTGGCTTTAAAAAAAGCCCCATCTCTTCCCCCGTGCTTAGGTTTTGATTTATTAATTATCTCGGAGTCGCAGGAAGGAAGAGATGGATATAAATGGATATAAATACGCTGCGTTTCCAAAGGAAGCGAGCGCTCGCATCAAAGGGTCTTCGTGCTGGAGGTAGCCTGAACTCCCCGAAAACTTGATTTTATTCTGGTTGTTGGGTTTTTTTTTTATTATTATGGTTGTTTTTTGTTTTTTTTTTTAATCAGACGCTGGAGGTACAGAAAGTTTTGTTGAAGTTCAGTGGGGAAAAAAGCAAACCAGCTTTCTAGAGGTGATAAAAAATCCACTCGTGAGTGAAGGAGCGATGCTCCCCTCAGTGCCGGAGCAGCTCCAGGGCCGGAGCGTGTGTGGAAATGTGGAAAGCCAGGCATGTGCACGGGGCCGGACCTAAATTAGCCCCTGACGTAATCCATCCCCCCCGAAATGTGTGCCCGGATCCTCTCCACTTGTTAAATTAGGGATTGTATGAGAGGGAAGGAATGCGGCGGCCGTGTGGGGAGAGAGAGGGGCTCAGCCCCAGAGCCTCCCTTCCCGGCATGGTCACATCCATAGAGATCTCCCGCTGCTGCCTTCCCTTTCCCCTTGGCTTTCCTTGCCCAGCCAGGCTATACGTATTCAGCTCCTTTTAATCTTCCTGCGTGTCAGCTCTTCCAGCCCTCTCATTATTTTTATGGCTCTTCTTTGAGCTGCTGCCAGCTGAGCGGGGTCGGGTGGGACGGGGCTGGTTCCTCATCCTCTCCCCTGCTCCTCAATGCCTCCCTTCATCCAGCCTCTGCATCAATTCATTTTGCAATTTTTCCACATCAAAACCCTTTCCCTGCGTTTTTAACCTTTTCCTCCCTCTCGTTCCTCTGTTTAATTCCTTACTTCGACAACTTTCAGTGTTAAAAAGAATTATTCTTCTCCTGCCAAGCAGATTTTCTGCTTTGAGCTTTAAGGAAATTTCCTAATAGTAAAGTTTCCGTGCAGTTTTGTGCTTCCCTGTGGGATGCCCCACACTGTGGGGGATGGAAGGAAGGTGGGTCAGTGCCTTAGGCTGGGATTTGCCTGTTCCATCCTTTGGGACAAATCCTTTGGAAAGGAGATTTCTGTGGCCTGCCTGGAGTTCCACTGGAGTTTAGGACATCAGTGAGAATCTGCAGCAGATCAGCCACACTGTGGTTGCAGGGTGCTGGTAGGAAAAATGCCTTCCCTCCTCCCAGCAGCAAGGAGAGCTTGGAAAAGGGAAAAAAAAAATCTTGATTTATAAATGTTCCTACAGCATTTATTGATGCTTGTAGGAGAAAGAGTGCAGTAAATATCCTGTTGGGATGAAGCAGGAGCCCAGCAAAGTTTTTCCTCCTTAAATTCAGGGCTGCAGATATCCATAAATCCCATGGACTCGATTCCTGCCTGCACAGAGCTGCAGTTGGACTCTTTGGGAGCAGGCAGTTAAAATCTGTGGCTGATGCAGGCAGGGATTGGAGGAAGCCCAAGCAGCAGATAGAGATTCTGGTAACTCAAGTGAATTGCAATGACCTGTTGGCTCCCCTGTTATTCATCACCCGCTGGATTAAGCCACTCCATTAATTGAGCCGTGCCAAGTTCTTGGCAAAGTCATCCCTGAAAAATAAGCAAAAAACTGCTGAGGTTTTAAGAGCAGCAGCATTTAGTTGCTCTGTGAGGGCTGGGGTCTGTACTGGAAACTCCTGGTGCTCTCTCAGGGTTTTTTAGGAATTTTGCCACTATTGACTTACAAACAAAAAAAAAATAAAAATAAAGCGAGGTTTAAAATCACTGGGAGCAGAGGAAGGAAGGAAGTGAACGCAGGTTATTGTTGTTGTCAACTTGAGGCTGTTTTAAACACATGGAATTAAAAAAATCCTGCTTTTTTTTTTTTTTTGAAACATGCTTGGGAGGAGCTCTGTGGAGTTGATGGAATTCTGTGGGATATATGGGGGATGCTCTGTCTGGTCATGGGAATGAAGGAATAGCTGACAGAAACAGGGCAGGGGGGACAAATGGTGTCTGGCAGAGGCACAGCCTAAGACAGATGACCTAAATGTGCACTGAGCAGATTCAGAAAGTCTGTGCATAGAAGTTTTGTGATGGAAATGTGGATTTCTCTCTGGGATCTGAGTGGCAGCTCCAGCTCCCAGGGTTTGCTGGGAGCACTGAGCACGGTTTTGGGCTTTTACCTGAGGAAAATAGATAAGTGGGTGAAAAAAGAAAAAAACCAGCAAGATTTGAAATTATATATGTCCTTCTGGACTAAAAAGGGTTAAGGATGGGTAACGTGGTGGAATCCCTATTTTAGTGACCTGGGATGGGCAGGAGAGCTGACCTGGATAAATGTCAGAGCAAACCCTCTGCCCTCAGACAGGCTGATAATGGCAGGCACTGATGACATCTCCTGAAGCCTTGGGGTTTGTTTTTGTGAATTGAAGGTGGGATAAGGGTTTGTGCAACTGATTTAACCTCCACTGTTCCCTTTGGCAGCTCCTCCTCTATCTCTTTGTGTCACCTGGGAGAGGGTGGGATGTCACCTGAGGACTGGCACAGGGCTTGTCCCATGCAGTTTTTGGGTTGTAGCACTTCAAGCTCTTTTTTAAAGTGATTTCAGCCTGCAGATGTGTCTGGGATTCACCCCAGGGGCTCTCTTCACCATTAAATAGACTTTGCTGTGTTATCTTCCAAGGGTTTCAGCTCCACTCCGTGCAAGATCAATTCTAAATATTAGTGTTATTCTGCCTGTGAAGCCTCCTCTCCTTAATGGACCCCTGAAAGGTTTATGAATAAAACACCAGCAAAGTGCAGCGTCATTGATTTGCCCAGGTTTGTGTTTGAGGTTTTGCAGTGCTTATAAACACTCCAGGCCCTCGTGAGACTGGCTGGGGAAATTTTTTTTTTTTGCTTTGCAACTGGAATGAACTCTTAGAAACAGCTTAAGGCTATGGGGGAGAAATGCAGAGTCCTTGTCCCAGCCCATTCCTGTTGTGAGCTCAAGGCAGGAGGAGGCTGCAGGGCTTGTCTTGTGGGTGGTTTGTTCCTTCTGCTTTGGATTTTGCTGCAATGCTGCTTCCAGATCTGGGAACCTCATAGGAAGGACCTGGAGCTGCTGGAGCAAATCCAGATGAGGCCATGGAGCTGCTGCAAGGGCTGGAGCCAGGCTGGGAGAGCTGGGAATGTTCATCTGGAGAGGAGAAGGCTCCAAGGAGAGCTCAGAGCCCCTGGCAGGGCCTGAAGGGGCTCCAGGAGAGCTGGAGAGGGACTGGGGACAAGGGATGGAGGGACAGGAGCCAGGGAATGGCTCCCAGTGCCAGAGGGCAGGGATGGGTGGGAGATTGGGAATTGGGAATTCCTGGCTGGGCTGGAATTGCCAGAGCAGCTGTGGCTGCCCCTGGATCCCTGGAAATGTCCAAATCCAGGCTGGATGGGCTTGGAGCAGCCTGGGACAGTGGAAGGTGTCCCTGCCATGGCAGGGGTGGAATGAGATGGATTTTAAGTTCCCTTCCAACCCAAACCTCTCTGACTGTAGCCACCCTTCCCAGATGAGGTGTCTGAGCATCCCTGCTCAGTGCCAGGTG